CTCTAAAACATAAATGACTTCCTGCTGTCCACTGAACCCAGATGCTTCTGTCTGAGTTTAAAAACCTTTATATTCAGGTTCCAGCCTACCCATACACCTGTATTTCCCAACTTGATTTCCCTAATGTGACCTTTCAGGATTAATCTTTTTGACTGTCCCATTAAAATAAAAGGCCGGTTTTTCTTCTCCTTTGTCAAGTTCTAGTCTTGGCTCTCTTAATCCCTAGCATTGACCTTCAGTGCCATAGTTTTCTGTATTACAAAATGGGCATCATGAATGTGTCCTGCCCAACAAGGTTGTTATGAGAGATAATGGATGTTAAAGACTTTAGGGCAAAATGTGCAAAGAGCTCTGTAGATGTAAGCTAGTGGTGGTGCTTTGGATTTCTCTTTCTGGCTCACTGCTTGTCACCCCTTCTTGCTGTAGGGAAGTATGATAATTCCGTGGACGTCTACGCTTTTGGCATTCTTTTCTGGTATATCTGCTCAGGCTCTGTCAAGCTCCCTGAGGCATTTGAGAGGTGTGCCAGCAAAGACCATCTCTGGAACAACGTGCGGAGAGGTAAGAGCCATGAGCCCTTCCTTGTCCACACTCCCCTGTTGGGAGCAGACCAAACAATGCAGCAGGAGCCTGCCTTCACCATATATACACTTAAATCATCATGGAATCCAGAAAAGACATTTAAGTCAAACCATTGATTCCAGGCAGCATTGTACTGAACTGTCTCCAAAAGGCTTTCTTCTTTAAAATGTCTAGTTCTTCAACTTCTTATGTCAGTGTCTTCTAGTTTTTCATCACTGTTACTATTAGGTTCTAACCTAGATGTCTGCCTTTGAAACCAAAGCTCATCACATTCGCTAGCACGCTGAGCCCCATCTGGGTCATTAGCCTGTGAGCTGATGGCTCTTGGTTGCATGGGTCCCCCTCTCACTGACTCTGACCTTACTTCCATGCTCTTTTCTCTAGGGGTCCGCCCAGAACGTCTTCCTGTGTTTGATGAGGAGTGCTGGCAGCTGATGGAAGCCTGTTGGGATGGCGACCCCTCTCAGAGACCTCTCTTGGGCATTGTCCAGCCCATGCTCCAGGGCATCATGGATCGGCTATGCAAGGCAAATTCTGAGCAGCCCAACAGAGGACTGGATGATTCTACTTGAAAGCAAAGACCTTTCTCTTTCACTCTCTTATTTCTTTCCTTCCCCTTACCTTTTGGCCTTGGGAAGAATTTGACTGTTGTTCATTATGGAGAGCTTCCGAGGGAATAGATGCTTGCTGGGCACCTTGAGACCTCCCTGGGCAGAGATGACTCCTGGATGGCTGAGCATATTCAGCAGTTCACTGATGCCCCAAGCTATCCCTTTAGCAAAAGATTGTCTAGGACATTGGTAAAAGCTGGAGGAGGCAACATTCTGGCCTCAGAACTGAAACAGAGGCAAATGTTACCATTGTCTGTTCACTGTATGTTTATAAGACAAGTGGGACACTACAGTGGCAATAGTATTAAAAACTATAATTTTAATAATTTTGGTTCTAGCTAGGAATAATTTGGTTCTGTCCAATCATCAGGACCCTTTGAAAATTTGAGCTTAGTTCTGGGACTGTGAAGACATAGGAGCAAAAAAATAACTTGTGGATACCTGGTTCCTGCTGTCTGCACCCAGAGATATCAGGTTGCAACAGCCAGAGACCCCAGTGATAAAGCTAGAAACAAAGCTATCTTCCTTACAGTGCCAGTGCGTTTACATTTATAGGACCACATGGCCCTGATT